CACCTATCAATGAACATGCGATTCGTAAAGGGGAAGACCTCAGTCTAATGTATACGGTGAGCGGATTTTTATGATTTAACCAGCTTTGTTGATCATTGGGACCTTCATCCGATTACCTAGTAAGAGTAACCGGCATGTTGTCCAATAATATTCGATAATGTGCGAAACTTTCACCTCTAGCTGAAGTTGAATCTGCGTCTCGCCCTTTCTGGGGCAGGGGCCGATCATTTTACTACCGGAGGTTCTTTTCTGCTAACCTAGCTCAGAGCCGATGGGTGTTTAGCCGATCAAACGTTGACGTTTGGATGCTGATAAAATCGTTATTTTGTATCGCAGGAAAAGTGATATAAAAGTAAGAGCCATGGTAGTGCAGTGGTTACTGCGCACCCTCGAAAAGGGTGTTGTGTGAGTTCAATTCTTGTCCGAGGTTCAAGATTTTACACACCACGCAACTTTATTGGGGTTATAGTTATTGTGGTACTATTTCGTGAGACGGGATAAAATGAAGAAACGATCCCTTTCGCTGGACACGAACTTTTCATAAGAGTTTAGTAAGCATTTAAATGATCAAAGTCCTGGCTACTGCGCCACTTACTCATTTTTCGGAAAGGAGTTCTTATAGCGCTTTAGCATGTAAAATGACTTATGTTCCACACCTGTCGCGCGCTTTCATTTCTATTACGCTTTTGATTCAAGGTGGACCATAGTAACATTTCGTGAACGTCAGCAAATATTTTTCACATATAACTTTGGTAGAACGACAGAACGATCTTCTTCAGTCTTGCCTTTTCAAATCCACTCAAGTCTTCAAAATTCCTCTATTTCGAGTGTTCTTAAGATCGCGCTCGAATTTCAATAGATCTCTTCATTATTATTTGAGCCAATATGTCATGTGGTCTTGTACAGTGTTTCGACCTCACAGTTTCGTCTACCGGGCAGAACCCTTAAGAATTCCTTAGTAACTACTCAAAATGAAGGTGTAATATGCTTAAAATACCAACCAAAGAGCAATCGAGTGTGAGATACTTAATTTGGTGATATTTTCACTCGACCTACAGTGTAAATCGCTCGTCTTCGATACATCTCCGTAGGGGAAGCAGGCTCCCGTGAGGATTAGCTTATAAAAAAATTGAAAGACGACGGGTTCTGCCCGACTGAGGAGACTGTAAGATTGAAACACGTGTATCGGGCTGTACAAGAGCCCTCACCAGACCATATGATATTTGCTTAAGTATTAATGAAGAGATTTCCGGAATTAGTCAACAAGTAATTGATTATTGTCAAAAAGCCACAAAACTGTGAAAGCCGGAATTCGGGAGCGGTTTTAAGCCGTTCCTCTATCTAGCTCCCTACCGCATGGGAGCACGCCCATTTTGCAGTTGTATAGGTGCACGATATTCTCAGAAAGAGACGATAGTTGTTCAGCGGCGGCCAAAGGACTGTAATGCCTATGAATATGGCAGGAATCGAGACCAAATTTCGCTTTGTTGCTTTGTCTTTCCAAATAGTATAGTATTCCTCTTGTTTAGTTTCTGTCAGTGTTCTCCTTTGTATAAACGCATAGTTGTCAGCATTTAGAGGTTGTTAGCTCTATCCTGATATCATTTCATACCCCGCATAAACAATGAAAGATGAAGCTTTTGGAGTTGATCAATTCTGAGGGATGCACCAAGCATTCGTTTTCAATTTTCAACTTCGTTTGAGGTGACTGAATGCATACCTGGCCTATACAATATCTCGCTGATGGCCTCTCGCTGAACCGAGTCAGTGCCGCTTATCCTCTCAGACAACTCTGAGACCAGCCTGGTACCATCTTACCGACTCCGGAGGGATGGATGGCTGAGTGAGGCAAGAGCGCGAGATTGAACGATTGACCTCGTGTGCGACGCAGAGCACCTCTAATTACTGCGCCACATGCGCTCACAGCTGACGACGTAATGGTGAGAATTTAACAATTCTCACAAAGTTTCCTTAGACAAGTGCTTTAGAACATTTTTCAATAGCAGCATCTACTTCGCTTTACATGAAGCGTAGTTTCAGAACTATCTTTTCAGTTATGCTCAAAGTACTACTGTTCGCGTTAAGAAGCTCGCTCTTTTTCAACCTTAAATTTCGTGGCTTTCCTCCCGTAGCCATTTGAGATGATCAGTTCTGGTGCCAAACACAGTAAAATCTCCCTGTCTTCTACATCGCTGCAAACATCGGTTGGTGTTTGGCACATCTTTCGGACAAATGCCTTTTTGTTTGCACTGATTGAGAAGAGAAGTGATGCACCAGTATGTTTTTATTGCTTGGTTTTCGCTGAATCCTGTAATGTTTTCACTTTGAGAAAAATATATCTGAACGTTAAAGAGATTAAGTAAAATTTCTCTTGGGTTTCCCCGTGTGTAGGCTCTGGGTGCCCATTCAATAATTCAGAACATGCCCAGTGATTTTCTGTGTAGAGCAGACGGGCATAATCATCTGTACATCGACAGTGGCGTGAATACGGGAACCATCAGTGATGCTTTTCTATGATGCATGCTTGCACCATTAGGTGCGAATTAATTAGAATTGTGATGCTTTTAGTAAATTTTTTCCTGATAAGCTGCTCGAATGCTTGTAATAGCAGTATTCATTAACACTAGTAATGCAATACAAAAACACAGCATAGTAATGCAGTACAATAACCCAGTATAGTAATGGAGCACAACGGCACAATTGTCGCTTTCTGGAAGAACCTGGAGAGGTCAAATTGATTTATGCAATCTACTCTATTAGGCACTTCCATAACCCCGGCAAAAAATGCAAGAAACAAAAAACTCTTCTTTATTTTGGAACACTTATCGTTTGAATGCTTAAGGTCTTCCATTATTCATTGGAGACCAGGCGTTCAGAGTCAAAGCTTGACTGGGACTGTGTTTGACTCAGGCGTGGAGAATTACCCTGACACATGGTGTAAGGCCACGCCGTTTACGAGGCACTTTTCTTTGAAGTTCATTTTAGGCCTTTACTATGCATCCAGAGAGCGCATGTGGCGCAGTGCCTAGAGGTACTCTGCGTCGCACACGAGGTCAGTGGTTCGATCTCGCGCTCATGGCTCACCAAGCCATCCATTTCTCCGGGGTCGGTAAATTGGTACAAGTCTGGTCTCAGACTTGTCTGGGAGGATAAGCGGCACTGACTCTGTTCAGTGGGAGGCCACCGTGAGTCATTGTAAAGGCCAGATATGCATTCAATCACCTCAAACGAAGTTGAAAATTGAAGACGAATGCATGGCGCATCCCTCAAGGATTGATCAACAGCGAGAGCTTTACTCTTTACTATGTATCCAGAAGACTTCCAGTGTTTTACGAGCTCATGTTTGAAAATTCCTGTACGAGGATAGTGAGTCTGTCGTCGAAAATTGCTCCTCTAAGTTTTTGTTCTCTATGTTTGCCTAGTATGCTTTTTGAATAGGAGTTGCTTTTTTTGGCTAGGTGCTCTTTCACAGAGACGCCCAGTAGTCTACCCTTCCGCCACTGTATTCGTCTTCGAATGCTTCGCAGGAAATTAGGTATATCAAACCAGATCTCATGTAGCCGCCATCTATACCGCTTGGGCAAATTTGGCACTATTTCGCTTCTCAGAGGCAGTCAAGCAATCAGTGACGAAGTGACTTGTGCGCTAGTGTATCTAGGGATATCCAACTACTGCTACCGATTTATCCAAACCTGTTCTCTTTATGCAGCATATAGTAGTTGTGCTTACGTCGTTATGAAAAAACTACGGGAAGCTTTGTTGCTTTGCTTTCCGTCTATTTTGTGTAGCAGGAGCTTTTGGGAAGGTTGACTTGAACGTTCAAAAATGGCAACAAATTTGCTTTCGTTTTATTCCGGGTAAACTTTATGTACACTGGCTGATTATCTTCTCTTGCGTTGATCAGACGACAAAGCA